CGAGCTGGGGGTCGGGATCGGGGAGGGTGGAGGGCAGGTGGGGGGGAAGCGGGGTGATCGAAAGCACGGTCGAAGAGGAGGGTCTTGAGATGGGTCGTAGAGAGCCCTTCACGAATGGCAGCGTCTCGATCTCCCATGTAAACCTTCCAATCGACTGCAAATCCAGGCCAATTGCATTTGTTTCACAATAGCTCGGGGGCTGTTAGCCAATAATGTACCAAAACGTCGTGATACTATTACAATCGTCTATTAAGCTCTCTGAGGCTGCGGCAGGAACCTGAGCTGCAGGTCAGCGCTTTGAATGAAAAACAAAGTTGAGATATAACACCACTAAGTATTTCCTGTTTGTCTGTATCTTTTGATTCTGTTTCGTTTCCCACCTCACACATCCCTCTCGCCCACTAATGTGCATATTACATTCCACTTCCTCTGTTAATCCACAAACCACAAACAGGTGAGTGTGTGACTTTACTCGGCACATATCTTTTGACCTGGCTGTGTTGGCAATTATTGTCTTATAATCTGTCGCCCGCAAATATACAGTCAATTCACTTTACAGACTATTCTCTGATGCGCTTTGAGACGTCTAGAAGACGTGAAAAAGCGCTATATCAAATGCAAGGATAATTGTTATATCTTTTAACACCTTGGCACGAAAGCGTAATCCTGCTCACTTGCTCTCTGACATCATAAGAATATAAGATTTTTGCCGGGGGAAAGAAGACCAAGATCTGTCTAGTTCGCCTTCCCCCATCCTGGCAGTCACTCGACATTCGTGCCCCCAAACTATATACTGTATCCCCCAGATATTATTTTCTGTAACAGAAATCTATCTTAATTTGTTCTTAAACCGCTTAAAACAAACTGTCTCCCTAGGGAGCCTGTTCCGTACGTTTGCCACTCGCTCGCTGAAGTTGTGTTTCGGCAGATTTGTTCCGAGGTTACCCCCCACTTCAATCGCAGGGAAATTTGAAAGACTGATGGAAACTTGAAAGCTTTAGGGCCAAATGAGGTGAGTATTGTACAAGGCTGGTAGGTGTCAGTCTGGCTCAGTCAGCAGTATTGTCACACCTGAGTCAGAAGGCTGTGGGTTGGGGTGTCTAGACTGGCACTGTAATGGTTGCTGGTAATGGGGAGACCTTCATCGTCGCAGGTTGAGGTCCTGTCTACCTGTTCAGGTGGATATTAAACCCGCGTGACAATTCGAAAATCGACGGCAATTCTTCTGGTGTCCTGGCCAACAATCCCCCCCCCCCCCCCCCCCCACCACCGGCCACCCCCCATAATAAAAGCGGTCATTCCCTCATGGCTGTTTAGAACATCGCTGTGTGCAAATTGGCTGCCGCGTTTCGCCCACGAAACACACACAGTCAATTCGCTTTGCAGTATGTTCTGTGATGCGCTTTGAGTGGTCTCGGAGACGTGATTAGGGGGCGGCGTGTCAGATGCAAGGATTCTTGGAGTCCACCGGGCCAGGCAGTGGACGGGTTGCTCGGGTGTTAATAGGTCACAAAGTCAGAGAGGAGCACGACCTATATCGTAAAAAGCATGAGTTTCATTTTTTTTTGTTCCACAGCAGAAAGTACTGGAAGCGCTGAAGTGCACTGATAGGCAGATCTGTATCTTGGTGAAGTGGTTGCAGTAAATGATGCTCTTGTGTGGTATCTGCAAACTCTCATCAGTTCTTTTGAAAGACACAGCACGTTTGAGGGCAGATTCTAGTGAAATTCAGCGCTTTGGTACTGGAAATGATCTCAATGGTAGGGGAGGAGGAGAGAGAGGGACAGAGAGACAGACAGACAGAAAGAAGAGAGTGAGAGAGAGGGGGGGGGGGGGGGGGGAATCTACAGATATATAATTGCCGCTTTCCTTTTGTGTGCGTTTTTGTCAGATAAAATGAGTCATTCCTGCAGGTGTGGGGGGAGGGAATGTGGATTGAAAAAAAAGCAATTTCCAGACTTGTGCGTGGGGAGGGTGGGGGGGCACCCTATCATTGCACTTTGCGGTGTATCTCGTGAAGTGCTTTGAGACGTCCTCCTAATGGGGAAAGACTCATTATACCAGATATACAGATTTTTTTTACACTCTACCTTAACTGTCATGCTCGCAATTGGTGATGCTTGCCATTGGTTTATTAATTAAGTAACTTCTGGGTCGACAGGGATATCCTGTCACACCAACTCATCCTCTATATGCACAAGCTCAGTCTTTCCAACTTGAACTTTCCCATTGGGTCAATTGACTGAAATCCCCTATTTCTGACTTGCCACTCCCTATCTGTTTTGGCCAAATGTTAGCCTGGCCCTTTTCTCATTAAATGCGTCTAACCAGAGGCTTTCCTTCATGAATGATCCTGCAATGTTAGCTCAACTGTCATGTGTTTTACCACGTGTCCCTGACATATATGGAAACCCCTTCACTTTATCAGTCCATGACTGTTTGAGGGACACCCCTGGGCGCAACTGGCTACCTCGTTTCGCTCACAAAATACACAGTCAATTCACTTTACAATATATTCTGTGAATATATTGAGACATCTTAACAATGTGATAAGGCACTATATCAAATCAAAAGGATTATTATTATAATAATTATCGGTTGCCACTAGTGTCTCTGGTCGCACCATTTGTCTTGAATGCTCCTAGCACTTATGTACAGTATATGCACCTAATTTTACTCTTTAAGCGTTAACCTTTCTGTCTGGTTGTCTTGGTCCTGCTATCTGTGGCTTTCTGGGGGCCTTGCCCTCTTGATTAAGTTACTTCCCCCATTTGTTATTGAGTCTTCTCTACTTCACACTTTCCACATTCTCCCCCACCTCCCCTTCAAATCTAGTTTAATCCAAACCAAATTGCCCCATTTGGTGAAGGACTATCCTTCCTATAAACAGTTCCTACACAATGTTCTTAACAAGGCATTGAAGTTCATTATTCTGCCTAGTTTGTCCTCCAGGCTCAACTATGCAAACGTCCTGCTTGTCGGCCTTCTCAACACCTCCCTCCACAGGCTGCAGATAATCCAGAACACTGCAGCCCGTGTCCTCTCCCGCACCAAACTCCATGACCCCATCTTCCCCCACTCTCGTCCGACTCCATTGGCTCCCTATCCTTCAGAGGATCCAGTTCAAAATCCTGGTCCTCATCTACAAAGCCCTTCATGGTCTCGCCCCCACCATACCTCTGTGACCTCCTAACCCCCTTCCAACCCGCCCGCTCCCTCCGCTCAGCCGGCTCTGGCTGCTCCACGCCCTCCGATCCACCCGCCCCACCATTGGCGGGAGAGCCTTCAGCCACTCTGCTCCCAACCTCTGGAACTCCATCCCCCAATCACTCCACCTCACCCCCTCCTTAGCCTCCTTCAAGTCCAGTCTCAAAATCCTCCTCTTCGACCACGCCATTAGTCACCCCCTTCCCCTCCCCTCCCTTCTCCACCCCCCGACCCCAGCTCGGGTCTGAAATGCTGTCACTGTCCAGCGCCTTGGGACATCCTCCCGACGTGAAAGGCGCTGTACAAATGCAATCTTGTAGTTGTTGTTGTAGTCAGTGCCACTTGCACGGATGACAGTTCTCAGCATTCACACCATTCATATCATTCATATACTTACTTCCCTTTACATTGACCTCAGAAACGTGGCTTATTCATTACTTATATATCTGACTCAGACAATGGGTTCCTTGCTTGACTGTCTCGGAAATCTTCAAAGCTAATGGCAGGAGAAAGTGACCCAATTTTTTGGGTTGTCAATCAGTTATCTTAACCACACGGAAACCCAGCACCATGCTTAAGAATCTCTCAATCCTGACTGAGACGTACATCCGCACATGTATGTCGCCTGCACCATTGAAATCTGTCCGGAATGGAATGCCCACACTCTCCCCCCCCGGTGGGACACTGCTTCCGGAGAGCATAAGGCGTCGGTTGACGAGAACCAAGGCTTGAGGGGCCCCCAGAGTGTGCATTGGTAATAGTGCTGGAGCTTAACCAGTTAAAACCGCATAGTTTGCCATTGCGAGCACCGCCTGGCAAGCTGTTCTGCTGTTTCTCAGGCTAGGACCACCCTACCTACTCCTTAGGGTTTGGGCTTTCAGGGTTAACGGGAGCTGCCCCTTCAAAGTCCTGGCAATGAGCCAGGATTGACTTGATTCCCAACATTCTGTTGGCAAGTATTGTCATGTCAGATCATGTCAGCCCCAAGGAGACCCAGCTTGCCTTTCCCACCCCTGTTACTCAAGGAGTGACCGCATTATAAAGCAACAGCAGCTGTCAGCCTGGCTCAGTTGCTGGAAATCTCACCTCTGAGTCAGAAAGTTGTGGGCTCAAGTCCCACATCAGAACTTTGGACTTATATAGATTACATAATATAGGTTTCCCCCCCCCCCGATAAAAATTATCATTCACATCATGGCTGTCTGTAGGCTTTCTATGCGCAGAAATTGGCTGCCACGTTTGCCTACATTTTGAATACAGTCATTACACTTTAAAAGTGAGCCTGCAAAGCCCTTTTACGCATCCTCTCAACCTGCAAGGCCCTGCATCAAATGCAAGTGTTTGTATAAAGAGATGGAAAAAAGAACTTCAAAAAAGGAGGCGGAAGAGAATACATAGCACTCGCTGGGGAAACTCCACCTTATAGGTTATCAACTGATGTTTTTTTGGAAAACGTGAATTAAATGTGCAATTTCAGCTGACTACACATTTACTGACCTCCCACATAACCTAGCAAAGGTGTTAACAAAAGTGCAAGCCTGCTTTTCAAGATCGAAGTGTGCATTATTACAGTCACATTTTCAGCATTGTTTCCTTTTGACCCCCTTAATATATTTCTTTCCTCACACCGCACAAGTCTCTGCAGATGGTTTCCGAGCAGGTTAGATGGGCGAGGCGAAAGAAACCAACTTGATCAAGGTTCCCATTGAGACATCTCGAAGACGTGATAAGGCGCTATATCAAATTGCAAGGATTATTGTTGTTATCACTTTGATGTATTTCGGTCTTTCTAGGGTCGATGCCAATTTGGACAAGAAGGTCAGCGCGAGTGAGATGCAGCGCTGGATCATGCAGAAGACTGAAGAACATTTCCAACAGGCCATCGACGAGAATAAACTGCATTTTAAAGCTGTGGATCCCGATGGCGATGGTAAGGCAGGCATTGGAAACCCCCCTAATAATAATAACATTGCATTTGATTGAACACCTTATCACCCCAGAAAGCAATCCGCCATTCGACTAACACTCAGGTTCCTCAGGTTTACTGCTGGGTAAACAAAGGTGTGTGGAGTAAGGAAAGTTGCCTAAGGTTTTGCCCGGGAATCAAACTTGGGCCCTCTCGCTTACGAGGCAAGTGTGCCAACCACTGCACTAAGGTGCTCCCTAGTGTTTATCAGCTATAATAAACTAAGAATCTTTGCATTTGTCATAGTGCCTTTTCACGTCATTGGGACGTCTCAAAGTGCCTCAGAAGTCAAGTGCAGTGACTGTGTATTTTGTAGGGGAAGAATTGTATGCACAGCTTTGCCCTACAAACAGCCATGAAGTGAATGACCAATTGTATCTGTGGGGAGATGATTGACCAGGACACCATGTGAGAAATTCCCTTCTCTTTTTCAAATATCACATGGGATCTTTGACGTCCACCTCAACAGGCAGTTTCTTTTGCCATGATTTGGGGAGTAAGACCTGTGAGCACTTCGTTCCAATGGCTTTTCCTTCACTCGTTTCTATTCAAACCTTTCTATCTGACGCTCTCTCTCTCTCTCTCTCTCTCTGAAGGTCACGTCTCCTGGGATGAATATCGCGTCAAGTTTCTGGCCAGCAAGGGCTTCAATGAAGGCGAGGTGTCGGAGAAGATCAAAAACAACAAAGAACTGAAGATTGATGAAGAAAGTGAGTTTTGTGTGGTTGGTGATCAATATAATGATGATAATAATAACCTGTGCATTTGACATAGTGCATTTGACGTGTTCAAGATGTCCCTCCTTTGCCTCCTTCAAGGCGCGTGTCAAGACCCTCCTCTTCGTCCGTACCTTCAGCTACCCTCCTACCCCTACCTTCCCCTCCCCTGATCCCAACTCCCTGCTCAGGTCCGCATCCCTGACTGTCCAGCGCCTTGGGACGTCCTCCTGAGGTGAAAGGCGTTGTGTAAGTGTTATTTGTTGTTCTTGTTGTTGTTGGTCTGTAGTGAGCTCCCGGTCTGTAAACTGCAACTCTCTCCACTACACCATTGGAGTAGCCATCTGCAGTCATCCTACCACTCCCAGCGCTTCAGTCATGTGAAAGCTGTTGACCCTGTATATTGTGCGGCACATTTTATCCATCGCTCCACAACTGTTTTCCAATGGAGCCAGTCCCGAATAGCATGGATTGCCCAACGTATCAATGGAGAGTGATGGGCTGCGAAAGGTTTTCGGTTTCTAGTTTTCTAGTTTTTGAAGTGCAAAGACTGAATATTGCAACAACAAAAAGATGTTTTGAGTGTATTCACACCCTCTCTCTCTTTCACCCCTCTCTCCTACCCATGTTTCCTCTTCCTGTTGGGGGAGTTGCACTCTCAAAGGGGAAGTAATAGAATTATCATGTGCAAGATCAGCAAATCGCGCCCCGTTATAGAATGGAAACATTAAGGCTAAATATCAGATAGATGTGAATTTATCTCTGGGGAATTTTTTTTTTGCATTGCTTAGTATGCTATCAAAAGGGTTACTGCTGTTCTCTACAGGATGACGGAAACTGATGTGAAGTGTTCACAGACTAGTTTCCTTTCATTTCAAAGCATGGTGGTGGTGGTGGGGGGTGAAGGGGACTGAGCGCAGTGTTGTCAGTCATTGCTGTTGAGCTGTTAGTTTTTTTTTTCAATTCAATTCCTTTAATTCAGGAAATGGCCTATCCGGGAAGATGGGGTGCTGGTGGTGGTGGGGTGGGGGGGTGCACAGTCCCAGAATTGTCGTCAGAGTAATCTGGGTCAGAGATTTCAGGGGAACGAGTCGGGTTAGCGGTTTTGGAGTTTGTTGCCACAAGCGGATATCCGAGGCTCAGATCAGCAGCGACATTCAGAAATAAACTGGACATGCGCTCCTGCGCAGTGAAATAACGTTATTATTATTAATAGTAACAATCCTTGCATTTGATGCAGCTTCTCAGAGCGATTAATAATAATAATAATCCTTGCATTTGATATAGCGCTTTTCACGTCGGGAGGACGTCCCAAAGCGCTTCACAGAATATGCTGTAAAGTGGAATGACTGCACGTTTGTGGGCGATTGGGGATTGCACAACAGTGTCGCACGAACAGCCGTGAACTGACTTGGCCAAGTTAATAGAGAGATTAATAAAGGGAAGCTTAGAGAAACAGTTGACACTGGCACATACATGATAGGACTCTTCTGTGCTAAAGTCTGTCATTAGATGTCAGCACAGTGTTGTCACTCATTGATGTGGGCACTAAACAATAGTTACTCCACCGTACTACGTATAGTATAGCAGGGTCCTGTGTCTGTCAGATTTGCCTCGTCAGGAACCTGTTTGTCAGAGATATATCTCTATAAGGACCGATTTACATTTTAATGCGGTTTGGCACTTTTCCATTTATACTTTGATTTGATTTCTAATTTGTCATTAATAGATCTGAAAATTTAGTCTGGTTAAGAACTGAAACTCTCCATTCACTGTGTGTGTGTGCGTGCGTGTGAAACTTGAATTGTACGTCATACCCATGATGTGGAGATTGTGGACATTTTGTTACCTCCTCAAAACAAATTCAGCTTTAAAATGTGTTCTGTCAACGGAAAGACTTGAGTTTTGTACAAATCCAATGCAGAAATCACTAAATATGGGTTTTATTTTCTGGGTTAGAAAGCAGCTTCGGAAATAATAATATTAATAAAAATCTATCAACTGGAAAAATAAGACTTGGCAAGAGCCAAGGCTTGGTGACCCCAGAGTGTGCGTTGGGGTCACTGCTGGAATCTGACGGGCTAAACCGTAGAGCTTGACATTGATAATCACGTCGATTTGTTGTAGCGATGAACTATTAACGCACCTTTACGGATATTAGGGGTCTGGGGAAAGAGCAGGGGAGTAGGACTGATTGGGAAGCTCTTCCAAAGAGTTGGCACAGGCACATGGGCCGAATGGCCTCCTCCCGTGCTGTAATATTCTATGATTGTATGATTAACAGAGCACAATTCTCTGCCGGTGTTTGGTGAAGTGTGTTTGTGTTCCGCTCTGCAGCTCAGGAAGTGCTGGATAACCTGAAGGATCGCTGGTTTCAGGCCGATGAACCCCCAGCAGATCAGCTTCTGGACGAAGACGAGTTCCTGGCTTTCCTGCACCCGGAACACAGCCGAGGGATGCTCAAGTTCATGGTCAAGGAAATTATTCGTGATCTAGGTAAACGGATTTACAGGTTCCACCCTGGCTCAGTTGGTACAACTGTCAGCCAGATGGTTGTGGGTTCAAGCACCCCACCACCCCCATCAGGGACCTTAGCTTATCCTATAGTCTGCCTGTCCAGATGGATGTTAAGAGATCCCATATTCAAAAAAAAAGCAGGAAATTTCTCCCTGTGACCCGGCCGACCATCCCCCCAAATAAAATTGGTTGTTCACTTTCGCGGCTGTTTGGGGGATAATAATAATAATAATAATAATAATAATAATAATAATGTTGCAGTGCGCAAATTGGCTGCAGCTTTCGACTACAGATTCACAGGTCACTGCACTTGACAGCAGTTCCATGTCAAGCACTTTTGAGATGTGTCCGTGTTGTAGACGCTGCATCAAATGCAATCAATTAACTATTATAAATTTAATTGCAGAAGGAATCCAGCAAAGACCTCACCAGCTTTTGGTCGCAGGGTGAAATTTGTCGTCTGTGTTATATCTATCATATAGATTTGACCTAAAATAGCATCAACAAGCTTATGGTTCTTAGTGATTTGTTACCCAGTAATTTATCTACAAATGCTACATCAATAAGGCGCTTTGAGTCATTTGGACACGATAGATGCTTTATCAGACGCAAGAGCTATTCATCTCAATCGTGAATTTTTGTTTGAACATATTAGTTGACCAGAGCGGTGAAAACAATTGAAATAGACATTGAAACTGAAACAACATTCCCCGCTAGTGTGAAATACAGAGACCGAACTAAATTTGCAGCTCGAAGAATTTTGAAATTTTGTTTTGTATATTGTTCATTTAAATTTCCCAGAAAGTTGATTAATGCTGTTGATTCAGAAAAAGCTGACGAAGCCGAGTGCTAACATTTTCTAATCTTGTTTCTTTTTTCTAAAAAAAAAGGGGAGGCTTTCTGTGGGTTTGCTTCTCATCTTATATGCCTATCAGAAGCAGTAAGTGTATCTTACTTACCAGAAGTATTTAATTTACAATAATCGAATTTTACTATGACTGGGTTGTAATGCGTTAGCAAATGCAAAAAGGCGTGACTTTCAGGGAGACATTTAGCCTATTTCAAGGAACTGCGAGTAATGTTCGTGCAAGCAGGAATTGGATTTGCTTTTATGTCTGGGAATGAGACCTTAACAAGAGCCCCTGGATTATTTCGCTCCTGCCAAGTCATTACTAAGAACAGAACAGAAATGAACTTGCATGTTTACAGCACCTTTAACACACCCTTCAAAACATCTCAAAGCAATTCATAATTCATTGCTGACAAGTCAACACTGTTTCCAAGCAAACATTGTGACCGATTCCTGATTTAGTTGGCTGCTTTCTTGCCTCTGAGTCTACGCTGACACTGCAGTGTAGTGGTGGGATATAATAATAATAATCCTTGCGTTTGATACAGCGTCTTATCACTTCGAAATGTCTCAAAGCGCTTCACAGAATGTACTGTAAAGTGAAATGACTGTATATCTTGTGGGAGATATATGAATATGTTGTATTATTATTGACCTTAAAGCTCTCGCGGCACTATTTGAAAAGCAAAGAGATGTTTCTCCCTGTGTTGTGGCCGACAATCCCCCAAATAAAATCGGTCACCCACTGGACGGTGTTTGTGGGGCATTGCTGTGTGCTAAATGATCATTACAAAGTCCCATCTCAACAGGCAGGCGTGAGATTCAGCTTAATGTGTCTCAGGGTGTCAGCTTGAGTTCAAAGTGGGCCTTGGGGACTTGAACCCACAACCTTCTGACTCGGAGGGGAACCAGGCTGACCCATTTTCTCCCCTTTTCGACAGATAATAAGTCCCTTAAAAAACACCCGAGTTTTTATTTTGTGAATTAAAAAAAAACACAATGCAATCGCCCTTCACTGCGAGTAAAGAACACTGTGATACACCGTTTAACACTTTGCTCCAAGCTTGCACTGATAATAATAATCCTGGCATTTGTTGTAGCGCCTTATCACGTCTTCGTGACGTCTCAAAGCGCTTCACAGAATATATACTGTAAAGACTGCGTGTTTTGTGGACGAACCGCGGCAGCCAATTAATTGCACACAGCAGTCTCCCGCAGACAGTCATGGATTGGGTGACCGTATTTTTTTGGTTGATTTTTTTTTAATGAAGAGATTATTACCCCCTGAAAAGCGATCCGCCAATCGACTAACAGCCGGGTTCCTATTTGCTGCTGGGTAAACGTAGGCAAGTAGAGGAAGGAAACTTTGCCTAAACTTCGCCTAATTCCCCGCAGATCAAGATGGAGACAAGAAGCTGACTCTGCCCGAGTTCATCTCATTGCCCGTCGGCACCGTGGAAAACCAAGAGGCCCAGAACATCGATGACGATTGGGTCAGGGAGCGGAAGAAGGAATTTGAGCAGGTCATTGATGCTAATCAAGACGGCATTGTCACAGTGGAAGAACTGGAGGTGGTTAAAACATTTTACTCACAGAAGCACTTTAACAATCGTGAGATCATTTAAACCCTCGGCTTCACCTAATTTGCACGAAACAGTACTTTGGTCTGCATCAGCCTTGTGCAGAGACAGACGTCTAGCTGTTTACACGTTGAGAGGCTTACGTAATGGGTACTTTATTAGAGGTATGACAATGACTGGCAGATATGAGTGGAAGATATATCTGACCCCAAGCAGTTTATAACATTTAAAAGACCCACAGTATATTTTCTGTGCTCTTTAAATTTGTGCACTATTTTCTGTGCAAGTCTTTTTTTAAACACTTGCTTATGTAATATTTAATTCCCCGACTTTTTGTGATATTTAAATGTTGCCGCAAAACTTTTTTTCTTGATTGGCTGGGTGTTTGCCGAAAGCCCATCACCATGATTAAGATTATCCAAGGCAAACTGAGAATTGCACACCTGTAAGCCGCCTACACGTGGGAATTATCCTGTGACTGGAATGGTATGTCTGGAATTGGAGTTCCATAGTGTAGTGGTTAGTGCAAGGAAGAGGACCTGGGTTCGAAACCTTAGGCAAGTTTCCCTACTCCACACTCCTCTGTTTGCCTAGCAGTAGGGAAGAACCCAGTTGTTGGTCGATTGGAAGATCGCTTTCCAGGGGGAATAATACCTCCGGAAAAAAAATTTGGTCACTCAATCCACGACCGTTTGTGGGGACCCTGCTGTGCGCAATCGGCTGCCGCATTTCGCCCACAACATATACAGCCAATTCACTTTACGATATATTCTGTGAAACTCTTGATTCTGACTAATCTGCTTTTTGTATCCCCCTCCCCACTACTATCAGGAGTACATGGACCCTATGAATGAATACAACGCCTTGAATGAGGCCAAACAGATGATTGCTGTTGCTGATGAAAATCAGGATCACTATCTCCAGCTGGAAGAGATTCTCAAGTACAGCGAGTACTTTACAGGCAGTAAACTGATGGATTATGCCCGGAATGTACACGAGGAATTCTAAAGAGCGACGGTGTCAGAGTTCCGCGAATCTCTTAAGACGTGTCGATCGGTGATGTGCTTAACAAAACGCTTTTCCATACAGTTGCTGCCTTGTATCTGTGTGCATACAATTACCCAACAGATAGAGAAGGCTTCTTAACTTTAAAGTGCCGTTAGCGGGGTCTAACTTGCAGTATGTCGTGATGCATTTCCCTTTTTTTTAAAAAAAAGCCACACATGATAATTTGGTCACTTACAATCCACGGCTGTTTGTGGGGTGACGCCGCTGTGCACAATTGGCTGCCGCGTTTCACCCCAAAAATCTGCGGTCAATTCACTTGACGGTATATCCTGCGAGGTGCTTTGAGACGTCTCGAGGACGTGATAAGGCGCTTTCATCAAATTAAAGGATAATTATTATTATTTCTTGATCATCAATGTGCAGGGTTTAGTTATCTAATTTCTAATGCATTCCTCAGGGCAACTAGTGCTTTTGAAATTCGACAACTGTCCGTCCCTTATTTCGAAATTTGCTAAGAAATCCCGCAAATTAGACCTACCCCCCACCCTCACTTTGTTGTTTGTCAAGAGACGCTTCATTTGAAATGCCTTAAAATCGTTGGGGAAACCCACAAAGAGTGTTTGCTCAATGTACTGTAACTGCCCTTCCACTGTTTCTCTGGGAAAAGATTAACCTTCCATCAGAAATATGACTCACCTCCATTGGATGACCCTGTAAGAGTCGCGTTGTGAATAATTTCTAGAAGCCGATGGGAAATATCCCTCTGAGACTAGACCACAGTGGGTTTCAACCAAAGTGCATCAATCAGCTGACCACAGCTGGTGAAATTTAGTGCAGTGATGGGGCTTATTATATAAAAGTGTTCCGGACTGGGTACGGAGTAGTGGGTTCAGTTGACAATCCTAGCACTATGGTTGCTCACTCACAGTGGACTGACTCTTTGCTGCAGTGGCAAAATCTGCAGTTCCGCAAAGTAATTTGCTTTCGCTTGCGGCGTCCTGTAGCTCAGTGGTTAGAGCAGTCGTCTTGCAAGCGAGTGGACCTGGGTTTGATTCCCGGGCATGGCAAAACATTGAGCAAGTTTACCTTAATCCACACGCCTCTGTTTACCTAGCAGTAAGTAGTTGATTGGCGGATCGCTTTTCCCGGGGGTAATAATCCCTTCAAAAAATATAAATAATAATTAATTTGGTCACTCATTCCACGACTGTTTGTGGGGATGCTGCCGTGCACACAAGATATACAGTCAATCCACTTTATAGTATATCCTGTGAAGTGCTTTGAGACGTCTCGAAGACGTGATGAGGCGCTGCATCAAATCCCAGGATTATTATTATTATAAAGTAGAATTGGGTTCTCTGGTTTATATTAAAGTTTTTAGAAGAAAGTTATTTGCTATGAGCTCCTTTCGCTATAGCACTACTGACTAACAAACATTTAATTACTACTTATCCTGAAACCCCCCCTTTATGGATGATATCATTTGCTTCAGGGGATTAAACTCTAGTGGGGACTGGAAAGAACAGATGTTCAAGGAAAAAGAAAGAGAGAGAAAGAGTGTGGTGGAAGTAAGTATAAACTGGCTTACAAAAAGCAAGAGAGTGACTCAAGACTCAACGTTCTGAGGTTAAGAGAGACAAGAGAACCTTTTGGAGATTTTTGGAAGGATGGGAAAGAGGGAACGAGGTAAAGTGATTGTGAAGAGAGTTCATGGCCACCGGGGAAAACCGCTTCAAAGCCCAGATGGACTCAAGATGGTGAAGTAGGGGGGGAGTGAAGAGCGAGCAATGGATTCAGCGTTAGTCAAACTTCGTATTCTTCGAAGTCTCACTATTTTGCATTCACCCGAAATCGTTTTGGTAGGAAATCAGCTACACGTTTAGAGACTGAGTCATGCTTAACTCTCTAATCTGCTCCACAGTGTAACCAGTTGAGTTCAGTATTGGGTCTTCATAGTTTCCTAGTTTTCTGCCTTGACAGAATCATGGCGTCTGTTTATAACAATGTCAAGCCGGTTTTACCTAATACCTTGAAAACGTTGTAACCCACTCAAATGGTATCTTTTTCAAGCCAATACTAACATTAGAAGGAAACATATCTACGCAATGACCCTCCGCCCCCCCCCACTTATCTTTGAATGTATTAAAGCTTCCCATCCAAGCAATGTACAATTCCTTCAACCTTGGAATTCGGGATCGAGGCACCTTTACCGTAAACTACAGGAGTTGTATAAAATTTCGAGTAACATACCTCTTAAAATGTGTACAGTATTTTGTTTAAACTGCATGAGCGTTATGAGCAGTGCTGAAGCGATTTCTCCAGTCGTATGGAAATAAACTGATCAGTTTTACAAACGCTCCTGTTCTCCGCGTGGAATCAATTCACGTATCGAGCAGCGCATCCGTTTCAAACACGCGGGTAAAATACAAACACAGTACAACGGCAAAGGACAGCAATTTGCATTTACGCAGCGCCCTTCATATGGGGTAGCATCTCAGAGCACCTAACAGCGGCGGACCCTGACTCAGGGGTTGGTGGGGTGGGGTGGTGGGGGACGAGGAGGTGATTGTGAGCATGGTTGAATAGGAAAGTCTTGAGTCGTGATCCAAAAGAGGAGAAGAAGCAGGGCAAGGCGGAGCAACTGAGGGGACGGACATGGAAAAGTACATGCTAAGTAGCGGCTGTCGAGGAAGTAAGATCAAATGCCAAACGTCAGCGGAAATTTCTTGATATAAGTCACAACCCCTAGATTTGAAGATTCTCTAAATTGGAAGAAGCACTTCACATTATGAATGAGTGAGTGAGTGAGTGAGTGTGTGTGGTTTTTTTTACACGGGCATCTGCGATGGCTCTTGTGTTAGAAAATTTTTGCGTGTTGATAGCTGTTTCCTTGCTTGTCTGCGAAGCTTCAGGTTGTCAAGAACACCAATATCCTTGGGAAGTGAAAGGGAGTTCGTTCTGTTGTTCAATGTGTCCCCCAGGTAAATATTCCAAGTTCATTTCAATATATTTAGATTATATATTAAAAAAAAACTGGTTTTAATTTTTACTGAAATCTAAGGAGTGGAACCAGTGATCGGTTTATAGACAGCATTTTGCTGGATGTTAACATTGTATAGATGTACTTGTTTTGATTTCAGTCACTTAAGTTAAACCAGTTCAGATCAAACTAAGTTGCAATGTTGGAAAATATTGCAATTTACCAATGGATTGGTGAAGCCAGTAAATGCCCTGTTAAGATAATTTGCCCGCATATTTTTGTTAACCAAGTGAAATCCTTCTGATAAACAGTAAATGTAAATAGATTTATTTCCTTGAGGTAGCTGATTTTATTGTGTTATGTAATTATGCATTCATACCTCTCTCAAGTGGGTCTCAGTTATATTTAGCCTTTGAAATATACACCAATGCAGATTTGTTTTTTTTCTGATTCCCTATTAAAGTTACTAACTTTACTATATTGTAGCCCTTAGTCTCTGTTATTTATGGATGGTTTTATTTATTTGCAAGAGAAGTGTTCACGGCGCACACACACATTTATTAATAATAATAACCCTTGCATTTGATATAGCGCCTTATCACACTGTTGAGACATCTCAAAGCGTTTCACCCAATAAATACTGTAATGTGGATTGACTGTGCATTTTGTGGGTGAAACATTTGACTACACAGCTGTGAGATCTTACCACGTGCAAATTGGCTACCGGGTTTGCCTTGCTACACTTCACAATAATAATAATAATAATAATAATAATAATCCTTGCATTTGATACAGCGCCTTAATCACGTCTTCAAGACGCCTCAAAGCTTTTCGCGGGATACACCGTAAAGTGAATTGACTGTATTTTGTGGGCAAAACTGTAAAGCTTAAGAGTTTTAAAATCTACGCCTTATGACAAAGGTCAAGCCTGTCTCACTTCCTGCTTTGATCTCTGTTAGCAGATTGTTCCCATAAATCATTTTCCTTCCCCCCCCACCCCCCACCCCCACTCCCCCACCTTCCCTCGAGACTGAGAATAGTCATGACCTTACAAAACAGAGACTCAGCATAAGTGAAACGCTCCGTAGCTTGGGTTTGAAAACCCCAAAAAGCGTGGTGATAAACATCCACGTGTATCAGACACTTTGGTGACCAACAAAAAAAAAAAATTCTCAAGAGGTATCTCACCAACCGATATCTCATTGAAGAGGCCAACAGATGCTGACCGGCAGTGTTATCAGAACTCTGGAAACTCTTCCTCTATCCCTCCTTTCTCCCTCCTTCACTTCTTTCATTTCCAGACCTTTCCTCGGTTCGGTGTCGTGCTCCGTCACCGTCAAGCGCTCTGGGACGCTATCCTGCGTGAGGGGCTCGGTGTAAATGCAAGTCGTTGTTGTTGTTGATTTCATTTTGTGGATTAAACAGGAACAATTTTGGAGAGCCGATGCATTGACGACAAGGCCAAGGCCAACTGCAAGGACTGCGGCCATGGAAAGTATTCTGCCGAGTGGAACACTTACTCTCAATGCCTCAACTGCAAATCTTGTTTGGAAGGTGGGTCATTTTGATTACACCTGAACAAGTTTACAGGCAAAAAGTGCTTCAAGCGCTCTGAGATGTTATTCTAAGTGAAGGGCTCTGTATAAGTACAAGTTGTTGTTATCATCTGATGACAGACCAGCCCATCCTGGCACACCCACAGGACTTGAACGAATAGACCAGTCCTTGGAGCTATCCGGTTCCTGTTAATCCTGCAAGCCACAGACCTAACTTTAGGGTAGGGTAGTCCCACCCTCTGGAACTCCATCCCGCAGTCCCTCTGCCTCGCTTCCTCCCTTGCCTCCTTCAAGACCCATTTCAAGACTCTCCTCTTTGACCGTGCCTTTGATCACCCTTCTTCGCCCCGCCCGCCGCCCTCCACCCTCTCTGGTCCTGACCCCCAGCTCGGGTCCGAAACTCTGACAGTCCAGAGCCTTGGGATGTCCTCCCGACATGAAAGGTGCCGTACAAATGTAATTTTGTTGTTGTTGTCTTAGATGTACAACCAGGCAGTGCTTAAAATGGCAAGCAATATGGTTTGAGCCTGTTAAACACCAACAGTTACCCAAACTCACCCTCTGGAGTTCCTCAAGCCTTGGCTGTTGCCAATCTGTATCTAATTTGGTAAACAGGAGAGTGAGTGATCCATTCCAAACATTGGAAATTCCACATGTAGATGGCACGATTGGAACACTCTGTCGGGTTTGAAGACTCTTAAAGCACGGTGATGGGTTTGTGCCTGTGTCAGACATGTGTCTGAACCCCACTCCCAAATATCATCAACTCCAGAAACAACACAGTCACATAGCTCCTGAAGGCAAAGCTGCTATTATAGGCAACTTGCGGGTGTGTGTGCAAATTACCATGTCTGCCGAGAACTGCAGTCACTACACTTGCCAGCAGATTCTTGTTTTGGCCAGCCAGGTCTGACGCATGTGGAAACCCACATCACCCATTGCCATGCTTAAGAGTGTCCAAAATTCCATGCACCCCACCTACACATGGAAATTGCTAGCGAGGATTATGATACATGACTGAGTGTTTTTTGTTTTTAAAATGTTTTTCTATCCTGGTTAAGTTTTTTTTTGGTCTAAAAATACCTTGTGTTTCCCCCACACAGAAAACGGGGTCAGATATAAAAAGAAGTGTAACTCAGACTCAGACGCAGAGTGTGAATGCCTACCAGGCTTTTTGAGTGGCTTTGACGATTCCTTCAGCTCAACTTGTAAACGGATATGTGAAAGAGGCAATGAACTAAAAGGTATACTGTACTAACTGTTTATTCTGAACAAAGATAGACAACCGTTGTACTTTTGCATTTAGTACGGTCTTGTAGCCTATTAGTTAGAGCACTCGCCTCTGTTTACCCAGCAGTAAGTAGGAATCCGATGGGTAGACGATTGGCGGATCGCTTTCTTGGGGTAATAAACCTTTCTAATAAATGAATAAATAAATAAATAAATAAATAAATTGGTAAGCAAAGGAGCTGAAAGGCCTCCTCGTGTTCCAATGTTTCTATGAGAAGGGAAAAACAGTCTGCAGACTTCAAGCAGTGTGTGCAGTTGTAGTGATGCTTTGATCAGAGTCTGCGCAGATCATTGATGTGGTGTGGAAGCAAAACTCAAGTTACATTGAAGAAGACTCAGTCAATTACCACCTTTATCTTCCATTCGCAGGAGACTCTAAAATGTGTACACCATGTCAAGAAGGATATTTTTCAGATCAACTAAACACACAATGCAAGCCTTGGACAGAGTAAGTGGGACTTTTAGTGCAACTTTGCAGCTGTATTTGTTCTTTTCCTATCATCTGATTGTACCTTCAGTTGATAAAGCTCTCTTGCCTCTGAGTTAGAAGGTCTGGGGGTTGAAGTCCCACGTGTGGGACGTTGAGATGATAGGATTACTCCTCTGCAGTGCTGGGAGAGCACTGCACTGTGAGAGGTTCTGTCGTCGGATGAGACCTTAAAAACCGAGGTCCCAAGGAGCTATTCGAAAAGAGAAGGGAATTTCTCTCACCCGGTCCCCTGCCCGACAATCTACCCAAATAATATTAGTCATTCACTTCATGACTGATTGTGTGACATGGCTGTGTGTCAAACTGACTGCCACATTCGCCTACAAATACCCAGTCATTCACTTTACAGTAATTCCCTTGAAGAGTTTTGAGTCGTTCAAGCATGCGATAAGCCGTTACATCTAATGCAATCATTATTATTACTGCGTGAAATTCACCAAAAGTGATTCAGACCCATTCTATTCTGGGTTTATCCTGTACATTTCACTGTTTGGGGCCGTGTTTGAAGTTAAATGAGGGCTCTTTGGCCTTGAAAGGGGACTTCTCAGAAAGACCCTTATCATAGGATACAGGATGATAGAGAGGATATAGAAAATAGACCCAAAACAATAATGTCCGAGACAGGAAGTATTTACTTATTCTCTTTCAAGCTAGAAATAAGCTTATTATTCAACACTGTTTGGTCGTAGCTATAAAGTCCTATGGTGCTGACGAGTATATTTTTATTGTTGTCGTTGTGTAGTTGTGCGGCAAAAGGGCAATATTTACTTAAGAATGGATCCACGATGGAAGATGCAGAGTGTGGTTCAACCATCCCTACTGTGAGGTCACCCCTTTCCCGTGGGATAGCAAGCAATATCTCTGCCTCTACCTCCACTCCAGCTACCTCCATTGCAACAGTAATTAATACCTTGCGTAGGCGAACTACCTCTTCAACAGCAGTGGGCAAAACAAGTAAGTGCCAGACTGACATCACTCAGTCAATCATGTATTGTGGAGTCCTGTAGCTCAGTGGTTAGAGCACTCGCTTTACAAGCGAGAGACCTGAGTTCAATTCCAGGCAGAGGGCGAAACCTTGGGCAAGTTTCCTTACTCCACACAGAGCCTAATAATAATCCCTCCAAAAAACCCAAAACAATAATAAATTGGTCATTTTCAATCTACGACTGTTTGTGGGACATTGCTGTGCGCAATTGGCTGCCGCGTTCGCCCACAAATATACAGTCAATTCACTTTACAGCATATTCTGTGAAGTGCTTTGGGATGTCCTCCCGTCGTGAAAAGCGCTATATCAAATGCAAGGATCGTTATTATTATTATTGCACCATGTAATGTATTGTATGTTGACGCTCCCTATTACGACTCTGCAGCTGATACAATGTAAATTCCTGGCTTAAGATGACGACTATAAATGTCATTTTGTTGTTGTTGTTGTTGTTGACAACAATGACAACTTGGATTTATTCAGATTTGTCTCAGAGCGCCAGACAATGGCGGACTTTCACACTGAGCTGGGGGAGAAAGGTCAGTCGGCTTGATCGAAGTGTAAAGACTTCAAGCGTGATCTAAAGACCTTTTTTTTAAAAAAAAGGAAGGAAACAATGATATGGGAGGTTGATGTTAGTCAGTCTCATGTGGTTGATGAGACAACGTTAACTTATTTGGAAAAGGCACAGTGAACACTATCTTCCATCTATTTTTAGCCTGCAAGAAAGACCATTTTTGCCTCAAAATGTAAGGCCTTGCTGAGTTGCAGAGAGTTATTCGATCCAGAAGCTGGTTTCTTTCGTGCAGAAAAAGAAAACGGCCTAAGGCAGATTTTACGAATTTTCCATAAATGGGTGCAATTTCCAATTTTAAGGTGACAGACTCTTTCAAGGCTAAGACGGAGTGGAACTTAGGGCTCATACTTTCATATAGGTTTGCATTTTCACACCACCCACTTGAGACTAACCGGTACATAGATTGGGTGAAATTTCAGCCCATAAGTAAGCGCGACTTGCTGTCGTTTTCAATTCTTCTAGGTCGCACCTTTTCCATTTCCTACCTTATCTTTCAGGGGGTACCCCAAAAATGTACTCAATGCCTCAACTGTGGTATGAGAACCTGGTTCCTGCTTACTTGCAGGCAGTAGGAACCCAGTTGTTAGTCGATTGGTGGATCACTTTCTGGGAGTAATAATCCCTCCAAAACAAAAACAAGTAATAATTTGGTCACTCAATCCAAGCTGTTCGTGGGACACTGCTCCGCGCACTGCTTGTTTCGCCCACAAAATACAGTCAATTCACTTTACAGTATATTCTGTGAAGCCCTTTGAGATGCCTCAATGATGTGATAAGGTGCTATGTCAAATGCAAGGAATTATTATCATATATTATTATTTATATTACTATCACATGATTTACCGCATCCATTATTTTGATCGCATCTGTACAATTTCTGTGTTTGTTTTTCTTTAGCACCGTCAAGAGAAACCACACTTTTAATGGTTATCCTCCTAGTATCTGTACTCTTTGTGATTGTCTTGATTGGGAAAAGAGTAATATGCTTCAAAATTAAAAACCAAGGTGAGCAACACTTGAATCCTTTCAATGTCTTCTTCTATTCCATTTTCTCCTACACACAACAATAACCACAACAACTTGCATTTACACCGTGTCCCAGAGCCCTTGGCAGTGGTGGAGCACGACTCTGAGCCGGGGGGGCGGGGTGGGGGGGGAGGCAACCGCAGGCACGGTCGAAGAGGAACGTATTCAGGGGAGATCTGAAGATGGGGAAGGAGGGGGTAGAGGTGGAGGGATTGAGGAAGAATGTCCCCGAGTTTCAGGGTAATTAGAAGTAACTTGAATAATAGTTTTTGAATAATAGCGCTACGTAATGCAAGTTGTTATTGTTGAAATCCCAACCGTCGCACCTCGAAACAAGAAAGCACAGCAGCGCGATTCCAAACGAGTTGCGCGCCCATGGAGTTCAGTGACGCAGCGACGACAGACACCAGGAAGTATTCTTTTACACGGAAGGTAGATCAGCCTATCCAATACTGCCTCAACTACTGCAATATATCTTCAGGTGTTAATTTCCTTGAAGTATTTTCAACCCGCTGTTTGTTTTTTCCCCCCACCCCCCCTCCCACCCAACCTCTTCCCTTTTGCAGTTTTCCACCAGTGTTTTGGAACCAGGTGCGGAAGAGATATGCCGATCCCAGTGCAGGAACAATCCGAACATATTGTGTCCATTTCGTAAAGCGTAACGAAGGTGTGGCATCCATCGCGGCGTTACGGAGACTGGGGAAACTAGGCGGCATCGCCTCAATAGAAGATTCAGGTGTAAGCTTTACCATTAGTACCCTTTCTGTAACGACTGTTAGGCAACCTTCAGCTGCAAGGCAGACTGATCCAAACCTGAGAAATATAGTAATCAATTTACAATGTTGAACGTGTGTGTGAAGGGGGGAGTGGGTGTTGGGGGTTGGGGGGTGGGGGTGGGGGAAGTGGCGGGGTGGTAGCAAGGGTGAGGATGGGGCTAAAAGCAGCATGCATTCATAATTCATGATCCTTGCGATAACCTGAGTCAATGTGAAGCTTCGAAAGCTTCAATAAGTGTCGTAGATTTCCCATTAGTTGACTCCGAGTCACTATTCGTGAATCCTGATGCTGTTTCAACTCAAATGTTACTGTATTTTGACTTTCTTTACTTCAGGATTGCTCTTAAAGAGTGCTAAGGAGGGTATCCCGGCACGGATTATGTGGGACCAAATGGTCCTATTCTGTCTACGTGATTCCATATAAACCATTGTTTACTAACATTTTTTACATGTGTAAAAGTACAGGTTGAGGAAATTTGCAGTGTGTGATGATAATTGTCACTGGAGTACTTTTCTTTTCTGGAGAAAACCAATGAGTGGGACTGTCGGAGGTGGACAGACATTGGGTGGTGGGGGGTTTAAGGGGTACGGGGATAGACAGGGCTTTGCAATTCACAAATCTAATAAACTGGTGGAACTGGCTCGCTGGATGTTTCCTGCTCTATGTTCCTATAAGTGCAAATTGATGCGACAAAGAGGAAGACTAAAGGGCCACTTCATAGAGATGATATAATAATCCTTGCATTTGACATAGCGCCTCATCACATCGTTGAGACATCTCAAAGCGGATGAGAAGCATACTAAGTACATCCCATTAAATCAATCGCTTCCATCCATAAATGTGAAACCAGAGATCTATGGGAAGTTGGAACACGGAAAGTATGTGGCAATGATTGAGACTCGATTTTTGTCAATGCGATTTGTCCGCTCACCAGTGGAGCTTTGAATCCAAATGCAGAAGAATTTGGAAACAGAAATAAAATCTTGAAAAAGCAAATCTGATGTATTTTTACACTACACTTCAGTAATACTGTTCTTATGTTCCAGTTAAGTGCTAAGCATTTATTGCATCTTTTAGAAAGCAATGCGACTCACTTGATTCCATTTTTTTTACTGTTTGACAGATTTTTCTTAATGTAATGATTAAGCGCCAACTGATGATTATGTAAATATGTATACGGTATGATCTTCAATACAATAAAATACCATCAAAATAATAATAATAATCCTTGCATTTAATATAGAGGCACTAACCTCAAACACTCTTCTCCAACAGTTCCATGGAAATGAAACCTCTAGCTTGCCAGACAGTGCTCTCCATTGTAAATTATGTGGCTTTAAAGCTGGTTAGACTCCAGCACTTACCCCAACGCAAACTCCGGGGTCCCCAACCCTTGGCTCTTGCCAACCTGCGCCTAATACTTTCCGGAATTAGGAAAGCAGCATGTGTCCCTTCAGGGAGAGAGAGAGAGAGAGATTCCATTCCAACAATCTATGTCTGGGATTTCCATCTGTAGGTGGGATGCATAGAATTCTCAGTTTGGGTTGGATACTCTTATACGCATTATAATAATAATAATCCTTGCATTTGATATAGCGCTTTTCACGTTGGGAGGACGTCCCAAAGCGCTTCACAGAACACACTGTAAAGTGAATTGACTGTATATTTGTGGGCGAACGCGGCAGCCAATTGTGCACAGCAATGTCCCACAAACAGTCGTAGATTGAAAATGACCAATTTATTATTGTTTTTGGTTTTGGAGGGATTATTATTAGGCTCTGTGTGGAGTAAGGAAACTTGCCCAAGGTTTCGCCCTCTGCCTGGAATTGAACTCAGGTCTCTCGCTTGCAAAGCGAGTGCTATAACCACTGAGCTACAGGACTCCTAGCATTGTGATGGATGTGTCAAGATACTAAGTCGACCAGAAAAACACATTGCAAATCAAGCAGTCTATGTCTCATGCTGCGTAGGGTTACAAATCCCTACGCAGTACGAAACCTCCATCACCCGGGTGCCCGTCCACCTCCGACAGCCACACTCATGATAACTTTGTGTTCCCAGAACTAGACTTTATTTTGCTGGTATCCCAGTATTGGAGATTGAACAGGGACCTGTTTAAATGTTTCACCAGAGAAGGCGAGTAGCACTCCCCAGAAACTGCACTGGTGTCAACTTGGAGTGTGAAAATGTGCGTGGGACTTGAAGCCACAACCTTTTAACTCAGAAGTGAGAGTGCTACCCACTGAGCCAGGCTGACACGCAATATCCCAGAACAATAGGACCTCCCACTGCTTTCTCTTCGGTAGAAGCTCAAGATGGTAATTTTTAAGGAAACTGCCTTTTCACCAGGAAGGTGGGGACTAACCCTTCTCCTCCTCCGTTGTCTGATGTTAATATCAGATTCTAAAAGGTTACTTTCCTGCGTATCAGATTCAGAAAACGTTCTCTCCACGAGGAAAATGTGGAATGCATTGTCCCAGAGACAGAATCGAGAGAGTGGGTGGGGAACATATAATGCTGACCATTAATGGATGGGATATTACGCTTCTGGTATGTAGTTGGTTCGGGAATAAGGGATATATCACTACACATTAGATATAAGAATGAAATCCTAATAATAATAGTAATCCTTACATTTAGTACAGAGTAAATACAAAGTAAATACTGTGAAGTGTAGTGAGTGGCAACAACAACAACTTGCATTTATATAGCGCCCTTCACAAAGGGTCCCAGAGCAAGCAAATGTACTTTTGTGCCCAAAGAAAAGCAAAGAGCGTTTGGTTAAAAAATAAGGGTTGAAAAATGGGGGGAGCAGGAGGAGAGAAGACGTAAATCCCCAAGGAAAACTAATAAAACTGCTAAACAGGAAATCCCCCCCACACCCCCTCTCCAAAATGATCTTTAAAACATTGATTGACTTGAGTTTCTTCTTGACCCCCCCCCCACGCTCGGGTCCTGATCCCTGACTGTTCAGCGCCTTGGGACGTCCTCCCGATGTGATGTGATGTGATAGGCGCTTCACAAATGTAATTTTGTTGTTGTCGTTTGGATGCTTTCTTTCACTGTTTTCTTGGATGCTTATACATCTTAATTCACCAAGCCAAACCTAAACAATAATAATCGTTTGTGCATTTGATATAACGCCTTACCACATCAAAAACATCTCAAAACACTTCACAGACTCTTACATCGAGTGTAGTGTAGTGTAGTGATTGCGCATACGTCAGAAAATGCAGCAGCCAATTTACGCGCAGAGATGTCCCACAAACCACCGTGAAGTGACACATTGATTTTTATTTAGGGGATTGTCTACAAGGACGCCAGGAGAAATTCCCTTCTCTTTTCAATTGGTGCCATTGGATCTTCAACGCTCCACCCAAACAGGCAGACAGCAACTCAGTTTGACATCTCATCTGAAGGACAGCATCTCCGACAATGCAACACCCTCCAGCGGTGCTTTGGAACGTCAGCCCAGACTTAAGTTCAAAGTCCCGACGTGTATCTCGAACCCATAACCTTCTTGGACGTCCTCCCGACGTGAAAGGCGCTATACAAATGTAATTTTTGTTGTTGCTGGCTTAGAGATGTCATTTCTCTACCAGCAGGCAACAAAGCAGTACATCTTTGAGACTGGAGTTGTTACAGTCCGACTGCACCATCTGCTAGCAGACCCTGTTACTGCACCAATGTGAACTGGTAGCAATCTGCAGAGATAGAATCATAGCATTGCATAGCACAAAACGAGGCCATTCGGCCCATCGAGTCTGTGCCGGCTCTTTGAATAGAGCAATGTACTCCCCGGCCCTTTCCCCATAATCCTGCAAACCCGTCCTCCTCAAATACCCGTCCACCGGGTTTTTAAAAGTAGCTATCGAATCGGCCTCCACCGCCCTTCCAGGCAAAGCGTTCCAGATTCCAACAACTCGCTGCGTGAAAACATTTCTTCTCCCCTCCCCTCGGCTTCTTTTAGAGACTATTTTGAATCTGTGACCTCGAGTCACCGACACACCCACCAGTGGAAACGTTTTTTCCCTTTCCAACCCATCAAATCCCCTCATGATTTTGAAGTCCTCTCTCTATTAGGTCTCCTCGTAACCTCCTCTGCTCCGATGAGAATAATCCCGGCCTCGCTCGCCTTTCCTCATCATCACGATCCCTCATTCCTGGTACCATCCTCGTAAATCTCCTCTGCGCCCTTTCCAATGCCTTAACATCCTTCCTACAGTGCGGTGCCCATCGCTGGGCGCGGTATTCGAACTGAGGCCTCCAGATTGAAATTCATCTGCCACGCGTCAGGCAATAGGACTTGAATGGCTTGAATATTTCTTGACGACATCAAATCAAGACCGGTTCGATCAAGAAAATTGAGCTTGTCGGCCGACCACGCAGGCCGGTGCCCGCTGGCTTTAGACTACGCGAGTTTCAAGTCGGGGCGTGGGGCTTAAACCCACAACGTTCATGAGACGCGAGCGGCGGGAGTGCTACCGCCCACGTTAATTCACTTTCCGGTGCATTCTGTGAAAGGCCTTTGAATAATAATAATTATTATTATTTTATTATTATTATTATTCTCACCGACCGAGCCAGGGGGGCTGACACCCACCCAAAGTAAGGACTTTATACTGAGCTGAGGAGAGAAGACATTTAGCCATTAATAATAATAATAATAATAATAATTTATTTACAAGTGAGTTGATTTACAATTGGCCGGCAGAACCCCCTCCCTCCCCCCACCCACCACTGCCCCCTCTCCCCCTCCACTCCCTCGCTCTACCCCTCCCCCCCTTACTCTCTCAACCCCCTCCCTCCCCTCCATACCACTCCTTCCTACTCCCCCTCCAACCCACTCCCCTCCCCTCATCCCACTCCCCCACTTCCCCCCTCCATCCCACTCCCCCCTCATCCCACTCCCCCCCTCCATCCCATTCCCCCCCATCATCCCACTCCCCCTCCAACCCACTCCCCCCCCATCATCCCACTCCCCCCCCTCCATCCCACTCCCCCCATCATCCCACTCCCCCTCCATCCCACTCCCCCCCCATCATCCCACTCCCCCCTCCATCCCACTCCCCCCCATCATCCCACTCCCCCCCCTCCATCCCACTCCCCCCCTTCATCCCACTCCCCCCTTCATCCCACTCCCCCCATCATCCCACTCCCCCCTCCATCCCACTCCCCCCCATCATCCCACTCCCCCCCCATCATCCCACTCCCCCCCTCCATCCCACTCCCCCTCCATCCCACTCCCCCCATCATCCCACTCCCCTCCATCCCACTCCCCCCCATCATCCCACTCCCCCCCCTCATCCCACTCCCCCCCTCCATCCCACTCCCCCCCATCATCCCACTCCCCCTCCATCCCACTCCCCCCCTCATCCCACTCCCCCCTCCATCCCACTCCCCCCTCCATCCCACTCCCCCCCCATCATCCCACTCCCCCCCTCCATCCCACTCCCCCTCTCCATCCCACTCCCCCTTCCTCATCCCACTACCCCACTGATCCATCCCACTCCCCCCCCCCCTCCAGCCTGGTACCACACAGCGTTGACAGCAGTGGGGGGTGGGGGGGGTGGGCGGACACATTTGAGTGTTGCGCGCAGCGCTGTAGCCCCGGGGTGGAGGGGGGGGGGAACGGGAGGGACGGGAGTTGGGGGACGGACGGACCTATTTACGCGACGCACCGAGAACTGGTGCCGCCGCCGCCGCTGCCGCCGCCATATTAGCGCCGCCCTCCCGCCCGCTCCCATTTTCTTCAGCAGCGGAGCGAGAGGGAGAGGGAGAGAGCCGCGCGGCGGGGGGTTGGGGGGGGAGGGGGCTGTGGCTCTGGGGGTGGGGAGGGAGACTCGGGGGTCGTGGTGGGGGGGGATTTACAGCACCGGAGCAGCTGCAGAGCAGCGCCCGCCCGCCCGGGCCCGCCCTCACCGCTGGCGTCGAGGTGAGTCTCCGCTCCCGCGCGGCGCGGCCCGACCCGACCCGAGGCCTCGGTCACTGGCTGCGGCCCGAATAACACCGGGGGAGAGGGACAGGGAGAGGGGCGGCCGGTGGGTGGGTGGGTCAGACCTGTCTGTCTGACTCTATCTGTCTCTCTCTGTGTGTCTGTCTCCCCCTCTCTGTCTGTCTGTATGTATGTTTGTCCCTGTCTGTGTGTGTGTGTCTCTCTCTCGCTGTGTGTGTCTGTCTGTCTGTGTGTGTGTGTGTGTGTGTCTGTCTCTGTCTGTCTGTGTGTGTGTGTCTCTCTCTATCTGTCTGTCTATCTATCTCTGTCTGTCTCTCTGTGTGTCTCTGTGTCTGTCTGTCTGTGTCTCTCTCTATGTGTCTGTCTATCTATCTCCGTCTGTCTCTCTCTGTCTGTCTCTCTGTCTGTCTGTCTGTCTCTCTGTGTCTGTCTGTCTCTCTGTGTCTGTCTGTCTCTCTGTGTCTGTCTGTCTCTCTGTGTCTGTCTGTCTCTCTGTGTCTGTCTGTCTCTGTCTGTCTGTCTGTCTCTCTGTGTCTGTCTGTCTGTCTCTCTGTGTCTGTCTGTCTCTCTGTGTCTGAAACCTTCCTTCCTCAGGCAAGTTTCCTGACTCCCCGCACACGCCTCTGTTTACCTGTAGTAAGTAGGAACCCGGTTGTTAAATTGATTGGCGATTGGCGGATCACTTTACAGGAGGTAATAATCTCCTCCGCAACGCCTCCCCCACCCCCCCACCCCATATTAATAATAATAATTTGGTCACTCCATTCACGAGTGTTTGCGGGCACTGCTAAGCGCAATCGGCTGTCGTGTTTTTCCCGTAAAATACGTCTCAACGACATAACAAATTGCACTTGTATAGCGCTTTGCACGCGGGGTAATGTCTCGGCGTGCTTAAATGGTAGTCATAATAATCCTGGCATTTGATACGGCGCCTTATCGCGTCTTCGAGACGTCTCCAAAGCGCTTCACAGAACACACTGTAAAGAGAATCGACTGTATATTTTGTGGGCGAAACACGGCAGCCAATTGTGCACGGCAGCGCCCCCACAAACCGCCGTGGGTTGAGTGACCCAAATTATTTTTATTTATTTTCCTTTTGACAAAGAGTTGATGTCTTTAATAGTAATTCATTGCAGGGTAGTAAAAACCCCACCCCCCGAAAAGCTTGTTCACGTGATCATCTCCCAAATCCTGGGCAATGTATTGAGTGTTGGCGTAGATCATCCAGTCATAAACTAAGGTTTGGAACAACTTCGAGGAACACAATTTGTTGGAAGCATTTAATTGGTCAATGGACTGGAAAAATAGTGGAAACTGTTCGCCAAAAGGTAATTGGTGAGTTGCAAATTATATAGACTCAAAAGGCAAAATTAAGAGTTAGTATTTCCAGGATGAAACCAGGAGATGCTAAGAATATTGTGAATAAAGGGTGAGCGATGGATTAAAGGCAAGAGAAGATGGCAGACATTTGATCAAATACATACAGTGAGGATACTTGGAGCAGCTGGAGGAATGTAGAATTATAAGACTGAGCAGCAGAGTACTGCACAATCTTATGTAAGGTGATCAGTGAGAGTCCAGATGGTTTTGTGAAAGGTAGGTCATATCTTAGCTTTGGTAGGATAGAGCACCTTGATGGAATGTTTGAGATGGCAGAGAATAAATGGATGGCATCTTCTGTCCAGCCCGACTATAGTGGGATCATCGGAAGTGTCGTCCTTCGGATGAAGTGTTCTGTTCAAAAAAGGACGTTAAAGCTCCTGTGACTGTTTGAAAAGACGAGGGAGTTTCTCTCAGGGACTTGGCCACCGGTCATCCAGATACATTGGTCATTCACTGCATCGTGGCTATTTATGGGACTTTGCTGTGCACAAATTGGTCATTGTATTTATCTACATATACAGTCACAGCAGATAATCACTCTTTGTGGATTGAGATGTTTTGACGTTCAGTACGAATGTCCTATTCCTATTCTTTGTTTCATTACTCTTCTGAAGATGCGGATTGCAGCACAACCACACCTCTTCCATAACCTAGTGGGAAGACCAAGTGGAAAGCCAGCTGCATCTAATCTAAAGTATGGGAAGTATATTAACGGCTGGACACATTGTATTTCTCTGACAGGGCAAAGTTACATCAGCCAATAATACTTAAATATAGTGACTGTAAACAACGCAAAGTCGTAGAAAGACTGTCAATTTTGTTTAATACTTTCTGCTAATTTATCAACAGTATTTATAGCATTTCTAGAGTTCTGTTCATTAGTTAGGACTGTACTATTTGAACCTGTTTCTTCCCATACCCTTGCAAGCTGCTTCTTTTTAGAAGTATTTCTCCTTAATAATAATAATAATCCTTGCGTTTGATATAGCGCTTTTCACGTCTTCGAGACGTCTCGAAGCGCTTCACAGAATATACTGTAAAGTGAATTGACTGTATATTTGTGGGTGAAACGCGTCAGCCAATTGCGCACAGCAGCGTCTCACAAACAGTCGTGGATGAGTGACCATGTTATTGTTTTTCTTTTTTTGAGGGATTATTATCAGGCGTGTGGAGTAAGGAAACTTGCCCAAGGTTTCACCCTGCCAGGAATTGAACCCAGGTCTCTCGCTTGCAAAGTGAGTGCTCTAACTACTGAGCTACAGGACTCCTTAAACTGCTATGACATTGCTTTTTATTCTAGATGAGCGGCAGCAGTAACAAGCGGGCTCCAACAACAGCAACGCAAAGACTGAAGCAGGACTATCTCCGAATAAAGAAAGACCCAGTGCCTTACATCTGTGCTGAACCCATCCCATCGAATATTCTTGAATGGCAAGTATCCTTGAAAAAATTGCATTAATACCATTCCCACTTTGATGAGTAGCTGAGGCATGAAAAGTATTTTATTCCTAATTAGTCTGGTTTAAATTCGTACTTTGATGAGTACGTTTGCAACGGTCCATTTTAGTAAACCTAGTAGAGAAACCATGCCATAGCCAAGATTGTACACCTATATAGGAAGTAAATATGATTTAAAATTATAAAAGTCTTATTTATTCGTGCGAAGTGTGAGTGTCAAAATTATATCTCTGTCGCTATCATTGTAAATACATTGAGCTTTCCTGTATAAGTAGATTTGCTGTTTTTATTTAAATTTCCATTTCTGTCCTCACGTTATCTGTTGCCTCGTGTGGAGGGTGGCATGCAGGTTAAAAGTTGTAACACTTCTTAATGTTTCTTTATCGTCAGGCATTACATTGTTCGAGGCCCTGAGAAAACTCCTTACGAGGGTGAGCATTACTGTGCCAGTATATTCTGATTTTGAATAAGACAGGACCCCTTTCTAACAGAGTTGGGGTATGAACCCTGACACTTACTTGCTCTACAAAAATCCAAACCGCAGAAGGAAGGTTTGTTCGCTTTGAAAACGCCAGCTGGCCTCCCACTTGCTAAACAATGGCTGACTTCCAGGTCATTGTGAACATCAATCCAAATAGAACAAATCACTTGTCGGTTTAATTAGAAGACAAGAAGAATGAGGTTGAGTGGACTGAAAAGCCTTCATTAGAAACTTTCTTTTGTAAATTGCTGGGGTGATGATGAGAGTTGATTTTCAAAATAGCTCATGACTTTCATCTGTTCCGAGCAGTAAGAAATAAAACTTTAATCATTAAATTACTGGTATATATTTGTAATGTTTTGATGGTAACTCAAGTGATCTTTATAAGAGGGACAAGATTAGATGGCTCCACTGGAAAGCCAGCCTGGCCCAGGTGGCAAAATGCCCCCTCTTTGTGCTGTAATTTCTGATTCTACTTGAGAGTTATAATAATATATTTGAATTTGGGGTTTACGTTCGGTTAAACATTTCAGAATTGTTCAGCAGGTAAAAATATTGTATTAAAAAAAAATCCTCCAGTAGAAAGCGAGGTAAAAGTTTGGCTATCAAGTCTGAGTTGTTGGGCAGTTCAAAACATTGAATTAAAAAGGTTTCATTACTTACATTTAAGTAAAGTAGCCGCTAACATTATTTCCTTTCCAATCTAGGTGGCCTTTATCATGGAAAACTAGTTTTCCCTAGAGAATTTCCCTTCAAACCTCCTAGTATTTATATGATTACACCAAATGGAAGATTTAAATGTAACACCAGGTAAGGAAAACCACCCTTTCTGTAGCTATATCATTTTTGCCTCAAAACTTAAATTAGTTTAGTCCAGTTAGACCATTTCGGACACGTTGTAAGGCAAAATGTAAAGATGCTCTAGCCTTCAGACATCTATTTATACCTTGTGTTAAAATAATACACGGCTATTCTTTAGCAAGGAATTAATGTGGGGTAGATGATGGATTTAATAAAGTTCATTGGAGGGGAATGGCATCAGTTTATGAGATATGTTTTCTTTGCAGGTTATGTCTTTCAATCACTGATTTCCATCCAGATACCTGGAACCCGGCTTGGTCTGTCTCTACAATCCTCACAGGTCTCCTTAGCTTCATGGTAGAGAAAGGTCCCACACTGGGCAGCATTGAAACTTCAGATTATACAGTAAGTTATTTTCATTCAATACTGTACAGAACATTCTAGGTTCTTTATCATGTAAGCAAATTAGATGTGCCTTATCTAATCAAAATATCTTCTCATTGTCAATCATGGCTCCTCTTGTGGGAAATGGAGTCATCTTTACTGCTAAAGCTAATTGACCAATCGTCCTTTCAGGGGCTTTTGGAAGATGAAGAAATCAAGAGGGATTGTTTGTAGGCTCTGTCGTTCTTGCCCCCTCCTTCCCCATCTTCAGGTCACGCCTGAACCCCTTCCTTTTCAATTGTGCTATGTAAATGCAAATTGTTGTTCAAAAACACAAATTTTCTTTGTACCGTTTTGTTAAAGGGTCCTGCTAAGATACTTGATTTGTTTTGTTCCTCTGACAATTGATTCTTCCTTATTCATTCAACCCCCGTTTGTAAAATTTAAGCAACAACAACAAATTACATTCGTAGAGTGCCTTTCACATCGAGAGAACGTGAAACCAGGCTGCAATATACAGTAAATATAGGTAGAATAACCCTAATTCGTTGTCCATATATCTTAGTACCACATTGCTGCATCTACTTCTGTAAGTAGGTCACTGTTCTGAAAGTGTAACAAGCGTCTTTTCATTGGCGCAAAATTGTGTTAGTTAAGATTACCTTTAAATAGACCACTTGAAGACTATCTAGGATTCGTTTCCCAGGATTTTTTNCAATCCAATCGTTGCTTCCTGGCAGGAAAGGAAGAATCCTTTTATTAAGTGTTTAAAGAGCATTCCCACTTTTGAGATGATGCTTGCCAGATTAAGTTGACTGATGTGAAAGACGCTATTACGATATAAACGTTTGGGTACAAAATCTTGATTGTTTAAAGTGTTGTCTTAAAATGCATCATTTTGTTGCTTGTGATAATAATAATAATAATCCTTACATTTGATATAGCACCTTATCGTTGAGTCTCAGAGCGCTTCACAGGACTGTAAAGTGTAGACTGTATTTTGTGGCCAAAACTTTTTTTTTGATCCACTGGGAAAAGTTAATAGCTTGTTCTAACTTACACTGTGGCCAATTTTAGACACAGCCTGCAATAGATTGTTCAGCATTAAGGCTGTTAAATGAAATAACCTACATTATTTTGGTTTGACAACTTGAGTCATCAAACTCTTTGGTGCTGCATTATGCTTTAATCTTTGCCTTCGTCCTACATCCTGTTTTTTCTGTACTATTTTGATATAATTGGTAGGCAGAGACTGATGTCAGATTACATGTTTTGAGTATTGGCCTCTACATCCTTTTAACGTAGTTCAACTTCCAAGTGCAAAACTCCCTCTCAACCTACCTTAATGCAGTCAGCCTTTTCCATTTCTTGGGTTTTAATTCATCGGGTGTACACACTCTTCTTTTGGTGCTTGTTTTTCTCCTGACCAGAAGTATGTTACTAAATACACATTGTTTCCTCACTGCTAGATGTCCCATTGGTTTCCCCCCCCCCCACCATCCCCTTTTGATTACATGCTCATTTCTCTCTGACTCTCTCCCCCCCACCCCCCTTTCTTTCTTTCTACCTGGGTCACAAACTTTCACAGCCAAGCACAACCTGCTTCTCCCCTGATGTTACTCATATTTCACACACTAGGTGGGGTGCAAGTGTTAGTTGCCACTTGGTTCCGTCTCGCTAAGGTTGAGATTATCAGTTCGTCACTTAGAAGGGTTTAGAAATGCCTTTCCCCTCCTCTGTCCCACATCGCACTGGCCATCCTATATGTTAAACTGAAATTTCTTTTGGTGAAATTATAGGGCATTTATATTAAATGCTAAAAAAAAAATTCTTGTCTGTTTTACCAAGACTGGGTATCTGAATAAATTCATTCTATGGATTAATTTTTATTCCTGAATGTAAGAGTTGATTGTCTTTAAACCCCTAAAGTTTTATTTTAGTTCCTGAGAAACATATTCACATCTCAACGATATGATGAGGTGCTATATCAAATGAAAGGATTATTATTAAGGATTACTAAAATAATCAATGACAAAGGTTTATATTGAAAGCTAATGGATGCAATGCATACAAATAAATTAGCTCTATAGTGTATTGTAGAAGAAAATATGTCTGGTCTAGAGAAACCATGTCACTGCATTCTTTGAAGGATTAAGTGTAGATTTTCCTTTGCCAGATTGCTTAAAGTTACTTTTAATTAACCTAAATTCTCAAATCACTTGTATTTAAACTGAAGTTTTTATGATCTTTGAGGGAATCACAAATAGTGTATCTAACAATTTAATTGTTTTTAACCTGTTGACAGAAAAGACAACTTGCTGCTCAGAGCAGTGCTTTCAATCTAAAGGATAAAGTGTTCTGTGAGCTCTTCCCAGATTTGGTGGAGGTAAGTGTTCACACAGGTTCTGGATTATCAGATTAAATTGTAAATCAAGAAATAATAATTTTGAGGATAGAATAACAAACGTTTACAAATCTCAGGAATGAGATGGTCGCAGACCAGTGACAAACAGTCACACTTTTTATTCAGAAACTGTTCTGCTGATATATATTAGAGTGTTGGAGTAGCAACATATTGACTGAGAAAACTGTTTTGAGCACATTGCAAAAAGCTTTTTTTTTCCCTCCCCGCAGTGACTCTTCACTATCAATTTAACTACAGTTTACAGTATGTTCTATGAGGCGCTTTACTGACATTCTTACAGTCTGGCGCTATGATTTTGTGTAATTAATCCTACTGCCCTCTGCCCACTTGAAAGATTTACAGCCAGAAATATTTAATTGCCAGGCCAGACCCAGCTACAGGCTGGGTATTTCATCTGCTGTCAGAGTGACTCGCTCTTTACCTCTCTTATAGTATTAATGATTCCAAGAAAGCGCATCAAGTTTACTTGTACTTTCCTGTGTGGAAATTATTACATTGGATTTGAGAGGTTCAGGTGTGGTGCAACTGAAGTAATAATAATAATAATAATCCTTGTGTTTGATATAGGGCCTTATCGCGTCTTCAAAACGTCTCAAAGCGCTTCACAGGATATAGTGTAAAGTGAATTGACTGTATATTTTTTGTGGGCGTAAGATACAGTCAGGAGGGGCAAAATGTTTTAATTGAATTATTTATTTTTCTCTCTCTATGTAGGAAATAAAAGAAAAGCAGCGAGCGCAAGAAGAACTAAGTACCAGGACACAAGCTCTGCCTCTGCCGGACGTCATCCCTGACGGTGAAGTGCACCAGAATGGAATGCCGCTTCTTAACGGGCACGCAGTCCTGCAGGCTGCCAACCACCAAGGCTTGCAGCAGGCCAACCGTAACCATGGACTCCTCGGGGGAGCTTTAGCAAACTTGTTCGTCATTGTTGGTTTCGCAGCCTTTGCCTACACGGTGAAATACGTGTTACGGAGCATAGCACAGGAATAGAACTGCGGAAGAGACCAAACCGTTGCAGTTTTGCGAGCAAACGGTTCTCCTTTTTTGTGGGGGAAAGGTTTCAGAAGGGGATGAGTGTTTCCAGACTGTACGTCCTGCAGTGATGTAATTAAAATATTACAACAGTTGCATATATATATATATACACACACGCGCGCACACACACACACAAAAAGTGACCAACGACAGCCTATGGTTTTCTTTCACAGATGTATGGATCAGCGGAACGAACTGAAGTAAGTTCATAAGCGAATAAGAATTTGCAGAAGGTTTCAATTTTATCGTGCCGGTCACCCATATTTTACAGATGGTGGCAAATGTGACAACCCCCCCCCCCCTCCCCTCCCCCAACCCCTTGAGGTTTGTTAATTATGCTGAATTTGGAAGTAGTGCAGTTTCAAACAAAAAAAGGCCACATTTTACAGCAGCGTCTTCAGATTTTAATACTTCTAAGTGATTTTTAGAAAAGCCATAACCCAACAAAAAACATAAATAAAGTTTTAACGTACTTGTTAGTGTTCAAAATATATCGGAAACCTTTCCGGAGTAACGGCAAAAAGAAATCCCGGGTAAAAAAAAAAAAGTCACGAACCGTAAATGACATTTATAAAATGTTCCTTTTTTTTTTTGTTCGGAGCTAAAAATTGTGTCGAACCAGTGACCAACACGAGAGATGCAGACCTTGTGCACATTCCTACAAATTTAATTACAAGCTTCTCAGTAGATGTTCCAGGTCGGGATGGCCCGAAGAGCGGCCCTCGGGGTGGGGGGGCCCATCCGGCCCTCCACCCTCGCTCCACCTCACCTGGCCCACCCATTTCCTCCAATAATCTGTAAATGTTTTGTTTCTGGAAGGGAAGCACGACAATGTTGTTCGCGAGGCCCACCGACGTTTCTCAAACGGGGCATTCGGCCCTCAGCAGCCGAAAGGTGATTGTTCCGGGTGAACCTCTGTAACGCCAGGGCAGAAACAATAATTTATAGGTTTGAGTTACCGTCTTATTTATAATTGGTTTCCACAGTAAACGATGCTTCGAGTTCCACCCACCCCTGCTTCGAATAATCTCGTGTAATGACTAGATTTGCTGCTTGATCAGTTGCTTCTGGAAGATGTTAATTTTGTGTGTCTGTCTGTCTGTCTCTCTCTCGCGTAATTTATAATTTTGCAATATTTTTCCAAAAAAGGAGCCTGTATTTTTTTTTAAAAAGAAAATGTATGGGCTTTAACAGTTGATGCAGTTTTGCAGAATTAATTCATCGGCAAAAAAAATCTTTCTCTCTCAAGTGTCACTTCAGTTTTGAGGGTGATGGTAAATATTAAATTAGGGTATTCAGAATACTGTTCAACATTTTCATTTCTAACGAGCAATAGAAGCTATGCTAGATTTATACTTAATCGAAGCAGTAAAATTTTTATGGTTTTTGTCAAATTATTTAAAAGCACCTGAATTCCTGAACGTAGCTGCATTCTCGTGGCACTTGGCTGTAAATTGCAATTGAGCATGTTCTGCATTATTAGCAATAATTGCTTTGTAAATTGACTCAATAAAATTTACAGGATATTATCATCTCTAGTTTTAACATCAATGAGAAGCTTTAAAAAAAAATCTTCCAGAATACATTCTTATTTTCCATGAATCCTTTAAAGACTGATGGGATTTCTTTTTTCTTTTTTTGCACCAAAATAAAAGCATATGGCTAAAGTTTACAAAGTTTTGTTCTGAAAATACTTAGAATGGAGAACTTCTTTTGTGCTTAAATAGGTTTCTTCAGTTCTACTTTATAATGTACCTTAGAGACGTACAATGTATTTGTATAGCTATTAGAAAATGTGTGTTTTGAAAGCTGCAGTAGAAGGTTAAAATGGCTGTGCATTTTGGATTTAATTATTGAAACTGAACGATGGAAAATGACTCATTAAATTGACGAGGTGTATGAGGACTCTTGCTGTGCAAATGTTTCTGCTTCGGGCACAGGAGTTGCAGGATGTACTGTTGTCACTTTAATTGTTCAATGTTCAATTTAAACTATTTAGCACTACCTGACTTTCTTAATTTTGTAACTTCCGTTCTGTTCTGTTCTTCCCTTAATCCCAGCTGCGTACCTTCACACGTGTCTGGAAAGACGGGTGAAGAGACAGCGTTGCAATGTCTCAATGGCAGAATGTTTGTCACTCGGAACTTGCAGGGACCTGTATCATGGGAGCAAGACAAACCTTCTCGAGCCTTTTACTCTCTTAAACCAAGAGTCTACGTCTTGCAGAAAATATCCGCCTTGCGTACCAGGTGATTAGCAACAGTGCGCTGTGATCAGATGGGTTTGTCATGTTGAATCAGTAGCAAAAAGACTAAAGTTTGTGTCTTGATACCCGGTTGCCCGTTAAGGACATCGCTTTCAGAATTGTTCCCCCATTAGTGCAGCTTTTGCACAATACATCCGAACTCTTTCAAACACACTTTGGTTAACCTTTATTAAGACTGTTGGGAACTTTTTAAATTCCCGGGAATGAACAATTGAAGGTGAAATTCAACAGGTTTTTGCATCCTGTGATTTTTCAATGTCGGTCTGTAATATTTACCAAATAAATATACTTAGTTTAACAGTATTAAAATAAAACCCATTTCTGTGATTTTTGTCTTACGGAGGGAGGATAGCAGGTAGTTTGGATACTGTAACCTTCAAAACTGCAAAAATCACAAGATTCGTAGCGTCTTGAGCTTAAAGGCTGCTGGTGAAGCAGTAAAGTGTGTCACACCTGTTCGCTCGCTTGCATGGAAGAGTTAACAATCCCTTGCTGAATCCGTGTGGTCGAAGCATATATTTATGTCCAAGGAAACCCTATCATTAGGATCCTGGTACAAATTACAGATCTATAGACAATACAAGTTTGCAGAAGAAGGCCATGAGGCCCAACGTGACTTTCATGTTGTTAGCAGCAACACTTGAACTTGATGCTCCAGTTCTATTTCCCTGCGTTTTGCACCATACCTTTTATTATTTCCCTTTGGTATTTACCCCTTTCCTTTAAATCCTGTGCAGTGGGGTATTCCCATTCTAGCAAATGTGTGTGGAGTCTTTAAAAAAAACTCACACTTTGTCTTCTATCCATTCTCTGATCATCAAAAACAGTCTCTGGTTTATCTAAACCATTTTTTAAGTTTGAAGTGTTCTCGTGTCAGAGCAACTTTTCAAATGTCCCCCATAAAATCAAGCCTCATCTCAGTGCATCTCCACCATACTCTCCCCATTGCATAATCCTTTGGTGCCCCAAACTGGATGAATACTGCTAACTGCAGCCAAACCAACGTCTTGAAGAAATTTAACCTTTTTCCCCCTCCCTGTTCTTGTGTTCAGGAGTCGGTATATCTGTATGTGTACTAATATTAAGGTTTGAGATAAGTTACCCCTTATATTTTCACCAAAAATACAGTGTATTCTGTGAAGCGCTTTGAAACATCTCGAAGATGTGACGAGGCACTATACCAACTGCAAGGATTATTATTATATTATTACACCAGTTTGCATTTCTTTCTCATTTACCGTCCTATGCTTACGGATATTCTCCCAATGTTTAAGCCTTCCCCTTTAACAAGCTTTAAGGTATTTGTTACCTGTGTACAGCATTCCTAAGTTTATCTGCAAAGCTTTGCAAACTTCTTGCTCGATGCTTTTCTTCCAATTGCTTTCTGCCTTTTTTAAAAAAAAAGAAACCCAAACAAAAAATACCTTCTTTGATTTCTTTTGTATTCATCGCAGGGCGAATCCGATTCCGTAGTAATTCTCTTAATCTTTCTAGTTTAAGAAGAGGAGAATGGATTTCACCCCAGGCCGCTCAGGAACGCTCGTGGGATCACTTACTGAGATTTTCAGGTTATTAAAACGGGCTGCAAGGAATTTGAAAGTGGTGAATGTTACACCTTTGTTAAAAATATAACTGAACTCACAGTCGTAAGCCAAAGCTCCGGTTCTGAGCTGGAGGTGCAGTGTTATTGTCATCCCTGTCTGCCTGTTCAGGTGATATATTTGAAATATTATTATTTGAAAGGAGAAAGGATTTTCTCACTGTGTCCTGTGCCAACCCTTACCCAGATAAGTTGGTCATTCATTTTGTGGCTGTTTGCGGGATGTTGCTGTGTGCAAATTGTAATCATATAATAATCAGATTATAATAATATAAATAATTAACATGGTACGACATAAGAGGTTAATGTTCAAAACTTAAAAGATCACAATAAAACAAGAGTGGAGAGCGGAATGCCTGGGGTGGACAGTCCAGAGTGAGAATTGCTATAAGTTTCTCTTACTGAAGGATGTGACTAATAGTTTCCTTTGTGACTGAGGGGCTCTACTGGGACACTTGTCTTTTACAGCAAACATTGAACTGGATGTAGGAGTGGGGGGGGGGGGTGCGTCAGAGTACGCTGATGCTAAATGGAGTGGATTTTGGCAAGTTGTCAGAATGATCGTGTGAGATTTCAGGAGGACGTCGGTGGTGTTGAGAAATTGACGGATGAGATTTAATGCTGATAAATATGCGGTAATACATTACAAGAAAATCAATAGGGAGGATATCCGACACGTGAAAAATAGCCTGACTAGTGGATTAGAACATGAGAGAATCTAATAAAGTGTGGCTAAGAGCAGGGAAGAGGACTAAGAGAGCAGTGAGATGGATTGAGGGAAAGTCACAGAAGCATTTAGGAAAGGATTGAGTTGGGTGAGACAGAGAGAGAGAGAGAGAACCAGGAGCAAAGATAATGGTCATCAGCACTGGAGTATGCAACCATTGGGAAATAGTTCTTGCTTCGATTGGTACCCGAGGGTACAATGGAAATTGGTGTAAAGCACAGCCTGTTAAACCCAGCACTACGGCGGAGTACTGCATATATCATAACGCATTCCGAGTGGGCATTGAAAACAGTGAGTAACACTGTCCTTTGTTGCCCACCATTACTCATTTCTTGTTAGCTGTTCAGTGTGGAGCTGCCAGACATCGTGTGCAACCTCACAATTACTGAACTTCATTTCGTACATATTAATCAAATCCCTTTTGGGGCACTGTGACTCATTTATTTAAGTCCTGATGTGCTTGTTCATGAAATATCTCACTGGCAACTCTGGAAAACCTTGCTCGAGTATTGGAATGGATTGATTCCAAAAGAAAATTGTTTCTTTCTTCGTCGTGTAGAGCCCCGTAGCTCAGTGGTTAGAGTGCTCGCCTTGCAAGCGAGAGACCCGGGTTCGATTCCCGGCAGGACGAAACGTTGGTCAAGTTTCCTTACTCCACACGCCTCTGTTTACCAGCAGTAAATAGGAACCTGGTTGTTAGTCGATTGGCGGATCGATTTTCCGGGGGTAATAATTCCTTAAAAACAAAACACTTGGTCACTTCGATCCACGACTGTGTGGGGACGCTGCTGTGCGCAATTGGCTGCCGCGTTTCGCCCACAAAACCTACAGTCAATTCTCTTTACAGTGTGTTCTGTGAAGCGCTTTGGGACGTCCTCCCGACGTGAAAAGCGCTATATCAAATGCAAGGATTATTATTATTATTCTGTGAAGCGCTGTGAGACGTCTCGAAGATGTGATAAGGCGCTTTATCATATACAAGGATTATTATTATTGGCTTTAATAGTACTTGGCAGATGAATTAGATAAGTATGTGAAAAGGAGTAATCCAAAAGTGGAGGAAAAAGCAGGAGAATGGGACTAAACCAAGAATAGATGAGCACAGTGGGTTGAATTACGAACAGCACTGTACATTTCTATCCTTTTTTTTATGGATAGCTTCCGGGGAGCTGAATACACAAGGGATATTAAATGACCTGGGTGAGGAACTGGGATAATATTTAAGAGGTGGAGAGAGAGAACTTGTTGATTCAGCAGAGCAAAGTTCCAAAGATGGAAAGCAAACTCGAAGGGGCCAACTTTGACTTGAGCCCAAACAATTGGACAATTGGACCCAGCACTTCCAGGAAGGCTGACAACGCAATGGATGTCAAATGTCCTGGGTGTCGAACTGGGGGAGCGTGGGATAACATAAGTAAAGAGAAGGAGAGGGAGTTTGTTGATTCAGCAGAGCAAGCTGGGGAGGTGACCGCAAACTCAAAGGGCCAACTTTGAGTTGAGTCCAAATATTACTTGCTGGGTTTTTCTATTTATATCCAGACATTTCCCTTGCTGTTTAAAGCCTTAATAATTACAAGCAATGTTGTGTTTGTTGCAGTAAATTGACAGGGAGTCAAAATTGCGGTCTTCCTTATTGCTTTCTGCTTCTCATCCCCAGGGGATAAGTAAATGTATTTTTTTTGTGAACGGACAGAAATTTCGACTGAAACTTTCATCTTTAATGACCGTTTTTAGTGGCAATTAATGATGGGTTTGGCACTGAACACCCATCGCCACCCCCCCCCCACACACACACACACACTTTAATCCCACAGTGTAATGCTTCTAGATACTGCGTAAAAATGTATTTTTGAAAGCTATAATGCTGTTCAAGGCTCTCTATGTCAGGGGACCCTCAGTAATGGACCTTGGACTTCCTTAGAAAAGTACAAAGCCTGGGGTGGAAAACTCTATCCAGCGGAGGGGAGAATATGTTCAGTCCCAAATTTGCCACTGAGCACTAGTAGTAAGAAGTTTTTAGTGACAATTTCTTATCTCCGCCATAAATTCAGGAACTTGGGAATCCAAATCCTTTGGGAATATCGAGGGCAAAATATGTAAGGTTCTTACACCGTTCCAGAGCAGCTTGATGTTGTGACGAGTGGTCGGTCGGGTGAGCGGACGGTAGGGTTCGTGTCCTGGAGGGATGGGATTGGGTGTGGTTCAGTGGTTGGTCCCACTCAGGGTTCGAGCCTCTTTGGTGGAACGAGAGACGAGAGTTCCAATTTTTTTGGTCACTACATCAGGTTCTGTTTAACCTCGCTTCACATATGTTCCCCAAAGTTTATTTGTTTAGGACGGCTGAAACCTTGGCTCACTTGGGCCAATTTCTTTTACGATTTACACGTAATGCAATGCAAGCAAATCTTGCA